TCGGTACGATTCCCCATGTTAAAGGATCTCTGGTTAGTTAGTGTGGTATAGTCTCTTGATGCTTTTACTGACAGTTGATAAGGACTACCTTTAATATGGTGACCTCTTATAGTCACTGATAGTTCATATCCACCAATACTTTGAGGTGTGCATGATACAATGGCTGTGTTGTTATCATTAACTATAACAACTCTACCCTCCTCTTTACTACCATCGCTTTTGATAAAGGAAGCCTTCAAATAACTTGCTGCTTTATCAATTCCTGCTGGTAGAGCCACTTTGAATTTCCTTTCCTTCTCTACTGTTGCCAGTGGAATAGCTAACCCACTATCAATGGAATAAAGTGTTGGCTCAAGCTGCTCAAGCTTGAAAACATTTCCAAACTCGTTGATTTTTTTACTTAAAGAAGGCGAATCTAGACGTGTTAAAATGGCTCCTTTGTCTTCTATTTCTAGAGGTAGTTTCTTACACTCTTCAATGCATTCCTCTAGTTGATTGGTGATTAGCTTCTTAACACTGAGAACTTCACCTGGATTAGTACGCTCACTCACTGATGATGCAAGATGACGACCATGAGAAACCTGTTTTACCAGTTTACAAAACCCATCCAACTGCTTCTCAACTGAATTTCTTTTAGCACTAGCAATCTCTTCTGTCTCCATTTGTAGATCATTGCATCTCTTATCTAAAGCAGCTTTAAGCTCTTCAAACGTTTCCTTGATTTTCTTGCTTACTTCTTCTTTATGTGTTGCTATCTGCTCTAGCATCTTCTTTCCATTAGCAATAGCTTCAGTGACTGGAGGAATGACTCCATCACAACTAGCAACACTTTCCTTTAATGCTTTACGTGCTGTTTCTCCTACGTCAATGTAATCATCATAAGCATGATCTTTATGCTTAGTAGGCAGGCAATTGAGGCAGGTCATTACTTCACAATCATTGCAGTAGTATAATAGCTCTGATCGTGGGTGTCGTGGGCAATAGACTGGCTGCTGTGCTGTGACAGGCAATTCTTCAATGGCGCTCTCCTTTCCCATGTCAACCAGTTTGTGTTGACTTGTAGTCTTTATTCTCTTGTGCGCTGTCTTGCAGAAATCGCATAGAAACAGCCAACACTCACAGCAAAAAGTGACAGCAGTATCATCACTGCATTGCTCACATAATGTGCTTTCTTTCTTGCTCATTTTATCTTTAACGGATGCTTCCCTCACTTGTTGAGCTAGCCAAAGGTTTTGAGTGAGGCCTTCAATGTTACCATCAGGTAAATTAACGCTAGTGTCACACGTTGGACACTTTAATGAGGTATCAGCACTACCTTGCTTCTCTTTAGCTTTTATTAGACACTTCTTACAGAATGAGTGAAGACAGGGAAGCATGAGGGGATCAGTGTAATACTCTGAACAAACCTCACAAGTCATAGTGATAGCTGGACTTGTGTTTTCTGCCATTGCTGCCTATGAAGAAAATAAATCATCACAATACACTGACTGAAGTATGTTACTTTTAAGAAGTGTTCTTAGTCAAAAAGCAAGAGAATAGGTGAAAATGAACTGTAACGAGACAAAGAGAGACTCCTCCGCAGCAATGCACTATGAATGCATGCAAATTGAATTAGTCTAGATAGATCCATTGAAAACATGTAGATGTAAAAGCAATTGCAAAGCTATAAAGTGGGATGGTTTGATCTGCCCACAAGTCACACATGGCGTCCAATGGTGATGCTGGTTTCAAGGTCTCAGTGGAATCACTTCATACTACAAGAATCAAGGAGATCAACTA